TACCGGACTCATATATTTTGTGGAGTTACTTGTATCTGCATATTTCTTTAAAATAAATTGCCACGCCGCCCTTCTGTTTTTTATCCGGTCTTTCCTTTGTTCCTTTTGGCATTATATATCGCATAATTTATCCCTCAATTTATTTTTTCTTAAGCTTTTTAAATTTAATACAATTCAACTAATGCCATAACATTTATATGCATTTGTAAACGTGCATATTAAGTCTTTGCAATTATAATACCAAATAGTTGACGTCACATAAGCAACTTTTCCTTTTTGCTGGTGATTTAAAAAAGTCGGTGATGATGCAGTGTGACAGAGGTAGACCATCTCCAGACTTTCGTCGTGTCTACATGTCTGTATATGTATACGTAATGCCTACTTACCTTTGACCCTTTGACTAGGCAAGCATATCGTAACCAATTTCTCCTGATGCAGAGATAAAAATATATAACTACGTACTTTTCTACTTCCTCTTTATGTCTTTATACCGCTCTCTAACATCTTAGGAGTCATCCTAGTGTAACAAATTTTCAAACAAACTTATTTTGTACCAGAAAATCTAGCAGTTAGTAAGTATAGTCTCAAACGATTCGCAAATATGATTATTGTTGAAATATTTCATTTTGCTACTCGTTTCATTCAGAAATAACACTTTGTTATCACATTACTTTATATCCGTTCCCGTTCTTGTAAGAAAATATAGATGTAATTGCACAAAAATCTCTTTCACTTTCTCATATTTAAAACCATATTGTTGTTGAAAACGGTCACAACTTTTTAGTTTGGCCTTGTAAAATAGTTAATGTTTTACAATTTTCATTCGCTTTTTGTCATTTGAAGGTGATTTCATTTGCGAACTTTTACCAACTTGTCTGTATAACAAAAAATAATATCAACTTTCTTCTGCGGTTAGTACTAAGAAAAGTGAAATTGTATTAATGCATGAGTCAACATTGACAATGCTTTTTATACATATTACAGGTACTGACTCTAAAGGTAGATTTATTTTACCTAATTTTTAATAATTATTTTGGTAATAGTTTCTTTTGGGGTGAAAGAGGGGTGACTCTTAGGGGTGACACCTAAGATTTTCTAATATGTTGTACAGTTCGCCGTGTTATGAATATATATATAAATGAATGTAGCGGAAACAGTTCCCTAACTTTAGAAAAAAAATATGTAAAACAAACTGAACCCATATTTTTTTGTGAGGGTTCACATTTAGTACATGAAATGCGTGTTGTTGTTTCAATACCTATTTTTCTTTTGTTTGTTTATAGTAATACGAACCAAAAAAGAAATTTGACAAAATAAGCATAAAATCTTCTAGAAGTTTTATTACTTCTGCCGCCAGTTTAGATGACTCACAGTTTATGTAGTAACATTTCAAGAAAATCGGACGCGTGGTCCCTGAAGTAAACAATTGCTATTATTTTTACTATTAATAGTGGTTAATCTAATTTCTGAATATTAATACCTACACAATTCATTTATACATGCATTCCAATATACCAGTCCGTCAAACGAAAAGCAATCGTCCGTTACTAACGTAAAACAAGACAGAAGCTGAATAAACGACTACTTGAAAATGCAAGTCCCACTTTTTAATATTTCACGTAAAGATGCCTTAGAAAAGTTTACGGCCTGTCTCAGAGAAAGTTCGTGTGATGGTGTTAATATTTCAGAACATGCAGGTCCATAACACGGACCGTCCTACATTTGTAGCCACATATCGTACTTAGCTATCTTTGGTGTACGTTAATGTACACAGGTGAACATATTGGTACATAACTATTTACAGTAGGCACATGTATGAATATGGCAGTACACAGTTATATGGATTAAAAAATTTAGAAAGTAATTGACTATAAATCTAAATTAATTAATACCTTTAGAGACATAATATGTACTACAACTTTAAAATGTAAAACATACCATGCGATTCTGCAGTCGCGTTATAAAATACTTTAATGATTTTTATAAGTTATTTGAATAATTGCCATAATTTTTATACTACTTGCTTTTCCATTGGCTGAAGAACCCCATCACTGTTGTACTGTCAGAAGACAGACTGGTGTAATGCTACTAATTGGAATGGTGACATCGCCAAAACCGACTTACACCTGTGGTTATAGCTTTAACAAATTTATTTGAACAACGTTATTTTTTGTATTGTACAATTTTATTTAACGAAAATAAATTGATAACTTTTTCAGGCGATTGTTGGAAATAAGAAAATTGCTTTGAACTGTAATTTAATGAATGACATAATTAAAAAAACTAAAAAAAATATCGAGTTTAAACTATTAAACACATTGTAGGTACAACTAAAAAGCAAACAACAAGTAGATAAGAGAGTTATTACATTTTCCTAACGTTGGGCGTGCGGATAATGTAGACGTTTTGTTAAGGAAAGTAAGTATATGCAATAAGAACATTCCATCCTCGCCTTTTTCTATCCTATAATATGTAATACTATAATACGTAATTATAAAGATTCGATAAAATGATTATAGCATATTGTTAAATTAAATTTAAGTGCAGGCGGGACCTATTAAATGCAAGCAAAACCCACTCTATTAGATTTAATGGGTTCCCGCCTACATTTAAATTTAATTTTATTTAATAATGTACTATAATAATTTTATTGAATCTCAGTAATCATGTATTAAATAAATTTTCCTAAATTAGGATAGTATAAACTACCGTGAAGAGATGGAAAGGACAAAGTTGGAATGTTCTGATTGCATTTATACCTATCTTTCTTAGAAAAACGTTTGAGTCAGCCTCACGTCTAGGGTTGCCAGGTGTCCCGATTTGCGCGGGACGTCCCGATTTTCAGGGTCTGAGGACGCGTCTCGATTTGCACCTGATCGGGACGCTAAATGTCCCGATAAATCAATAAATTTATTAAAACCCCATTATTATTAGAATAATAAAAAATTACGCATTACCTATTTTTAAATTTCTACTAGTCCAACAAGTCTGACTATTATTATGTAGGATTAAATTCTGACATAGGCCTACTTGAAATGTTAGTTGCGAAACGCAATAAATAAAAGTTTTATTTAAAAAACATTGTTTTTTTGTTCGTCCCGATCTACAACCCAAATCCCGATTTGTTTTACCTTCTGCCCCGATTCAAAACAAATCGGACCTGATAACACTACTCACGTCCAACGTTAGGAAAATGTAAGAAACTCTTTTTGTCTTATCTGCTTGTTTTGTGCTTTTTATTTGTACCTATATTGGATTTAATATTTTAAACTTGGAATTTTTTACACCGCCAGGTTTTTTAGTCCTTTTAATTACGAAATTTATTTCCTGATTTTTACTACAAAGCTACGAAGTCAGGTAGAAAGTACCAATTAAACTACCAAGAAAATATTAAATACATAGAACTAAATATAAAATACAATAAAAATTCTCCATTTTGTTTTTTATTTTTGAGAATTTTATGTAAGCACCCAGTGACACTCGTTTTTTATTTATAAGAATTTTACATTCGTACGTTATACATACATTCAAATAAATTAGGTCAAACGACCTATCCCAATACAATCTTCATTACCAATTTTAATTAGATAGGTTTTTAGTTATATACATATTAAGTTGTCAGTACTGGCATTTTTCCTTTTTTCTCTGGTAGAATTACTCGGCACCAAAAAAAGTATCTGATCGGATCGGTATCGAATCCAAACCGGGTTCCCGGCCCTTCCCTATTGGGATCCGTCAAATGGGAGGAGCCTAAAAACATGGCGCCGATTATGGTTACTTTATCGTAGTTCCTATAGTGTACCGTGCAATTTCCAAGTTTTTAAATTACGATAAAATGATAAGTATTGACACAATATGTGATTGGGCTGACACAAAGCCTCGGAAANTTAATAGTAAGCATATATTTTGTTTAATTGCTCATATTTAACAGTTTCACCTATTAAAATTTTACAGGTATGTCTTGAACAATTAGTTATTAACTATTTTTGTGCAGAAATTAAAAAAAAATTAACAGCCTTGTTCCCTCATGTTAAGTATGGTGTATTGTTTAGTTAACACGTACAGGAGAAAAACATGTACATATGTACGTTTTTTTAATAGTTATTACTCTGATAACATTAATTGTTAATTGTTACTATGGTTGTATGTTTACTCCTGACTATCATTCTACCATTTAATTTGTAAGAGCTATAACGTCATGTGATTTTTTAAACCAATCGCATATAGACCTGTGGATTGAATATCTCTTACAACGATGCCAATTATTATGTATTATAATGTACACAAATACTTGTTAGCAATTAATGATACTGCCTACTTAGCTTTTAGCTAAATTTTATTGTAATTCCTATATAAGTAGATCGAAATTGATATGAAATTTAGATTTTACGTTTTAATTTATTCTTCTATTCTTCAATCGTGTTTTATTTTCCTCAAATCTTTCTTCTCTCTGCGAATTGGCAACGTCACGTTTACGTTTTGAAACGTGGAGTTTGCGCTACGCATGGAAGACGAGTACGTAGCGGGTTTTAAATTTTCCAGTCAAGTTCAGTGCAGTTTGCAGGTAGAAGTAGATGGTGGGTAATATGAAGGTAACAGAAAGATTTGTTGTCTTGGTAGTGTTTTTCGCTTGTGCCTTCAGCGAAGAAGACAAATTTAACATAGAAAAGTTAAGTGTACCTGAAGGCTGCAATGTTAGAAGTAAAAAAGGGGACATGCTTACAATGCATTATACAGGTACACTGACCGATGGTAAAAAGTTTGATTCTAGGTAAGAAATTTTATTTTGTTAATTTTTACAAATGTTAATGTAAATCTTATTAAATTCGCACATATAACAATTACTTTGTTAGGTTATAATTTTGTAATAGGTATATATTTTATTGACCTTGATAGTTACGCTCATCTTCAGAATCCACTGCTGTTTTTTTTGTTAGCGAAATTGTTAATAAAAAATCTAAATTAGTTGATAAGTTTCAAACTCCAAAGTAAAATTAAAAAAAAAGTAAAAAACCTAAGTTAATTCATAAGTTTCAAAGTCCATGAAAAGTAACAGTATCTTCCTTATACTTGCTTATAATCTAATAATTGATGTAGTGTTTTTATCTTTCAATTTTTAGTTAGGTGCCTTTCAGTTACAGAAAAAAAGAGATAAAAAAAACGTTTTTATTATTATATAATGTTTTTTATACTTGTACCTACACTGTACCATTAGAATTTCATAAACACCAAAAAGGCACCTACCCAGTAATAAAATATAATAAAA